ACAACAACAACAACAACAACAACAACAACAACAACAACAACAACAACGACAACAACAACAACAGCAGCAACATCAGCAGCATCAGGAGCATCAGTAGCATCTGCAACAACAACAACAACAACAACAACAACAACAACAACAACAACAACAACAACGACAACAACAACAACAGCAGCAACATCAGCAGCATCAGGAGCATCAGCAGCATCTGCAACAACAACAACAACAACAGCAGCAGCAAAAGCTTTAGCAGCAACAATAACAGCAGCAGCAACAACAACAACAGCAGCAGCAACAACAACAACAACAGCAGCAGCAGCAGCAACAGCTTTAACAACAGCAATAACAGCAGCAGGAGCAGCAACAACAACAACAACAGCAGCAGCAGCAGCACAGCAACAGCAGTAACAACAACAACAACAATAACAGAACAACAACAACAACAACAACAATAACGACAACAACAGCAGCAACAACGACAACAACAACAACAGATCATGCTCGAAATAGCAACAGAGAATTTTCGAATAACCTGTAATTAAAACATTGCGCGTTGTAACTGCTCCATCTTTCCTTTCAAACATCTAATGTCCTTATCTCTCCTCATTCTTTTTTGTTTGTTACACTGGTAACATTGTGTAGCAAGTGCCGTAAAAAACAACAACAACAACAAACAGCAAAAAAAAACCCAAACAAACAAAAACAAACAACTTCGCCAAAAAACCGCACAAAAAAACAGACACCCCCCCCACAAAAATGTAAGGGTTTTTAATTTGTTACGCGAACAGAACCTTGACCGGCCTATCGTTGCTCCTAACAGGGACGTCTGTGTTTGAAGTGACCGCATCGGACAAGGACTCAGGCTTGGACGGAGAGATAGAGTTCATAGTCGTCAATGGGGGAACTCCCTTCAGTGTTGATAGCGGTACCGGTAGGTTGACAGATAGATAGATAGATAGATAGATAGATAGATAGATAGATAGATAGATAGATAGATAGACAGATAGATAGATAGATAGATAGGTAGATAGATAGATAGAAAGATAGATAGATAGATAGATAAATAGATAGATAGATATATAGATAATCATATTTAATATCACGTTCAGACAGAAAATGTAAATGATCACACTTAAGCTTCTACGATTTTGTTGAAATCGTGTTCTTTTTAAAGTTGGGTCATACATGTGTGTCAGTGTGTGTGTCTGAGTGTGTGCACACGCGCTGTGAGCACGTAAAGAGATACGTACTTTCAAGCACTCCACACCGTGTGCTCTACGCAACATGCAATAAATACTCTTTAATTTGTACACGCCTGTGTGCTCTGCGCAACACGCTTTTATTTCCACACGCGTGTGCACTCTACCCAACACACTTTTATTTCCACTCCCGTGTCCGTCCGTTTGCAGGTGTGGTTCGAGTGGCCGCTAACTTGGACTACGAGACGGACACGTCATACAGCTTGGTGATCCGAGCCAGGGACAAGTCCACCGCAACGCGGAGTGTTGCAGAGGTAAAAAAAGAGTTTACCCTGCTTGAAGGTTTAAAAGTTGGGTGAAGCCCTTCGAACGGCTGGAAATAGAGAAGAATGGAGAAAAGTGGTTAACGATCATCCTTGGTGCTCCAACAGTCATCTTGGACTAAGGTATAACTAAGTAAGAGTGAGTAACCCGGCTTAACAAAATGAAATGTAGAAAAATACAATACTTTAGTCACTTAAAACAACCCCAGATTATTGTGAAAGAGGTGCTCGAAGGAAGGATAAGGGGCAGGAGAGCGAGGGCTTGACAAAGAGAAACGTGGATGGGCAACACTAAGACATGGGCTGGCCTGAGTAAAGCGGAATGATGCGCAAAGACGGCTCGCAATCGTCAAGGCTGGCGGGTCATTACATGCCAACATCTGAGCCAGAAATGACACCTTCAGGTGTCCAGGTAA